GTGGTAGAAAGCGCGTGTGTTGGAATAGAATTGAGATGGTTGAACAAAATGACTGCTGAAGACGGAAAAACGACGGATTATATATCTCCTTCAGCATTGGGATCTCGTTCGTGCTTGATGATGGCAGCCTGTATCATGATGGAGTTGGATGCTGCAGCGGTGTGGCGTGTTGAGGCAAAAGAGGGTCGAGCTAGGCAACGACGCGCCGTGGCCCATTTTAGCGACGGGAAGACGTGTTTGGGGACCACAGCAGCCTGACGAGACAGGCAGCAGCGAATCATGGTTAGCAGCGTGTATTGAGTCCAACGCGAGCTGCACACGAGTTCATGTGATGCATGACGCGACGGATGTGACAAGTGAGGGTAGATCTCAATGAGGTGCTCGAGGTTTGCCACGAACACGCTTGTGCAAAAGAAGGATAGCGCAGCCAGCGGCTTGGCACCCCCCGCTGGCAGCAGCGAGATCTCGCCATCTTCGGCATCATCATGTTCCACACGTTCTCGATACCGGCACCACTTCTACGTCCAATGGTACATGGCTCTGTCACGCCTTCGAACAACTCACACAGTTTCTACTCCCTGATCGGCGAGTACAGCGAAATCTGCCCAACGAAGAACATGATAATCGTCAGAGCCGCAACAGCCGTGAAAACTATCGCAACCTATCATCAAATCAGCCTTGAAACCTTCCAGATTCGCCTCGCCTGAGATCATACCTTGTCCCCATCGTCTAATCCTCCAGAATTACCCAAATTCGACGTTGCACTCCACACGAGCAGAAACATACCCACAACCATGCAGATAGTCGCGGATATGAGAAACATGACTGGCATCTGCCAAGTCAAGACCTGGACAAGGTTTGGCGCACGACGACCCGTTCGTTTCCAGCGACTTCCTTTACCAAGTAGCTTGTGAAGATTGGCGAGGCCATCGCGGTGCGACGAAAGCCGATGTAAACGAACGGTCTGGTCGGCTGCGCTGATGATGGAGAGCATTGTGATGATGATGCCACAGTACCACGATGTCCGGACATACCACGGAGTGGGCCTGCCAGTGGTGAGGATATTCGGCCAGCTGCCTGTCGAGGTAAGGACACCCGCAAGCAGGGCGGACTTGACCATCGTCAGCGATGCGGCATCATCAATGGATACAGTACTTACCACGACACCAACAAAGTTCAGCTCGCTTAGCTTGTTGTCTCTCCATTTTTCGACAAGCTCATCTCTCTCGCTTTGGTCATGCGTGTTGAGCAAGATCTCTAAAGGGTCATACGTTGAGGGGTCCGGTAAGAAGATGCCACCGCCGAACATCTGCGGTGCGCAAAAACAACTGCTTTGCCGCTTGCGTTTGTTGTTCGACGTCTCTGGATGTAGGGGTGGCTGGGTAACACCATTCGATCCTCGGTCTGCTGCTCTCCATTCGACATCGTCCGGCTCTCGGGAAGAAGAGGTACGGAACATGGTTTACTCGGTATCTGGAGGATCGAATAGGTTGTGGATATGGGCAACAGTGGCCTCCATTGACTTTATCAAAGGTTTGCCAGAAGCAAACAATGCTGCGGTGTTCGAGAGGTGTTCGCCGATTATGACGCACATCGCGCCGCTAGCTGTAGCGCAAGTCTTCAAAGCTCAGTCAATCACAGCCTCTGCATCGTTCAGTCGCAATGCAGCCAAGTCTACCTACGCTGCGAACATCAAAAGCCATGCAGGACGCTTAATGTCAAAAACGCAAGCGTTCAAATAAAGTCTCGATTGTAATTACGGACCTCGGCTACACATCCACTGCGTTCCAGCACCCTACAACCAGCTCAATGCATGACCACAGCGACATGATCGTCCATGTACTTGGAAATATCACCCAAAAAGCATGCCGCGATGATACTGACTCCGCCAAACGCTATGCTGACGTAGTACACGTACTTGTACGCCTCTGCGTAAGCGAGCTGGCCAGCGTACACGACCAACTCATACGCACCCGGCACGTCCTTGATACCTGGAAGCTCATGAAGAAGCGGGAGAAGCGATCCGCCGGTAATGGCGATTGCCTCTCCGATGATCTCAGGCGATGTGATGTTGAGCTTGGTGACCATTGCGCCGCCGATGTAGTGGGTTGCGGCGGGAACAAATTTGGAGATGAAGACGTTGTAGTACACGCAGTATCCGATCGAACCACCAATGACGCGGATGGCAAGGGTAAGAGCAGCGATTGTTGCGATGAGGTCGTCTGGGCAGATGATAGTGGCTGACGAGGTCAGTAACGCGTTCGTCGATCAACGCGACGTGAAACTTACAGATGATGGATGCGGGCACAACGATACCACCAATGCCGAGACCAGCGAGAACCAACAATCCCCACAGTTGGTACAAGTTGTCCACGCGACCGATAGAAAGAGCACCGCAGCCTGCCGTCATCATGATCGACGAGACGATCAAAAGCTCCTTGTTGTGACCGCGGAGCAACGAAAGCAACCACAGCACAATACAAGCCCCAGCCAGAATCGAGAACCCAACAGGAATACCCCGGATACCGACACCAACAGGATCATGACCATAAACGTTGAACGCCTGCGTCGGCCAGAACATAAGGATAGAGAAGAAGTTGGCTCCAGAGATGAACGTAATAACAAGTGTCAGCCCAAGAATCCGGGGCTCCTGACGAAGTCGCTTGGGGAACATGGGATGTTTAGCTCCGTAAGCTTCCCAGAAGACAAAGGCAACGAGGAAAGCGACGCCCAGGATCAAGGGCGCGAGCACGTGTGCGCTGGACCACTTGTACTGGTAGCCACCCCACTGCATACCCATCATGAACAAGATCATACCGGCAACAGACAGGAAACCGCCGATGTAGTCGATCTGTGCGAGAACCTCTCTGCGGCTCATACCCACGCTGTTGACGCGGGGAGGAGGGTGGTAGAACACGAAGGTCAGGACGAGACCGATGAAAGCCCAGAGACCTGAATTGTTAGTTCCCGTCTCATGCGTTGTTGGGAGAATGGAGGAGATACTTACCACACCACATCCCAATCCACCTCCAAGCCCCCGGACTCTGACTAGCAATAAGCTGCGCCCAAAGCACACTGGGACAAAACGGCAAAATCGTAAACACCAAAATCGCAACATACTTGCCCCTCTGACTCGTCGGCGCAAGCTCACTCGTCACCGCCAGCGCCGTAAGTTCGTTGATGCCCGCGCCCACACCGCTAAACACCATTCCTGCAATGAAGATATTCATGGAATGGGCGGTTGAGCAGATGATCATGCCGAGGATCAGGAAGCACGCGCCGATCATGGCGACCCACCGGCGGCCGACAATGTCGGAGATGGAACCGACGAAGGGGCATACGGCGGCGAGGGAGAGGAGGTTTGCCAGGATAAACCAGATCCAGCGGTCGGTGCCGCCTATGTCGGCGTAGATGTAGGGGGGGACGCCGCCGAAGAGGTAGACGGGGATTTGGCTGCCTGTCCATACTATTCTTGTTGTTAGCGAGGGGACTCCGTTGTGTATCAGTCGTCTGGGAAGGCTATACGCACGGAAAGCCATAGCGACCAACGCCATAAGTCTCTTAAAGTTCATAGGCTGCTCAGCGTCGTGGTCCTCGCCGTCACCGGCTGTCCGCAAGCCATCTTTTTCGTAGTAGTTGGTATGTCCGGGGACTTGCTCGTTGGTGTGAATTTGCTCGATGTGATTGAACGCTGGTTTGGAGGCTGAGGGGGAGTGGTCTGAGACATCTATTGTTGGATTGGGTTAGTACATGTGTGGGTGGATGTGGAGTTGGGGTGTAGGGTTACGTACCAGAGCCATCGCTGTGGTCTCGCATCGTGTTCTTCATAGTCTACGTATGGAAAAGACCTCGTAGACAGGAATTCAGAGCTTCAACTTTAACAGTACAAACGAAGCTGTCAGTCCTGCGAAAAACTTTCGTTTGGAGGCTCAGCGGGGCTCTTATGCATCCATGTACTTGGAACCCACCCTTGCCTTCACCACGCCCCCGTCCATCGCATTCCCCACCCACGACTCAGGCTGCGGGGTATTTCCCACCTAACATCCAGCTAGTCCTCACATCGTCCCTCTTCCTCCAAATCCCTCCCTTTCCCTCCATTATCCTCCTTCACACTAGCCCCCAGATCCGTGGTCTAGCCCATCCACCCACCGTCCCCATCCGCGCATCTGGATTCGTTTCTCGCACCACGGCCGCGGTAACTTTCCAACACGCCTACCTGACACTTCCGCCACGTTACCAACTGCCTATCACTTCCTTCCGTACCATGTCCATGGGACACCGGGGAAGTGTTGAATGGGGTTAGCGTGGCTGCGTAGTGTGTATGTACCCCGCAATTGCTTGGTCGAGCTTGTCGCAACAAGCAAAGAAGCGGCTGAACAAGCTTTTGGCGAGGTTTGTCGATCTTAGATGGTTTCGTTGGAAAACCTGGGGATGGGGATAAAGGTGAACGGGGATCGGCGGGGGACGGTGGGTTGGTGTTGGTAACCTTGGAATGGAGAGGTGGTGCGGCGATTCCGTATGTAAGGAGAGGGCTTCAGCTGGGATGGCACATACGGGTACTTGGGACCACGGCAGTTTCTTCACTCGCTCACTCGCTCTTCGCACAATACACCTCCGCGCGGCTTTTACCATCGGTCCTATTCGCGCGGAGAAAAGTCCGCGTTGAATGCCTACAGGGGAGTATGGGCTTGACCTGCCCGTACAGATGCATCGTGTCTAGTCCCGTGAGCTATGCTCGCTCTCGCGTATGTACGATAGCGACACCGGAGTGGATGCTTGATACGCCACAAGTACGGCTGTTCGGCTACGGGGGTCATGCAGCCTGTGTTCTTGATTCGAGTTGCCTAGGTAGAATGAGAGGATGGGAGATGTTGTTGTGAGGCAACCGCTGGGCTTTTACTGAGATGGATTCGCGCGCTGGTTTGGGAATGGATATTGATTGCTGGTTCTTTTTACCACTATCAATGTAGTTACTTCGGTAAGGGAGGTAATGGCACCTATCATCTCAGCCCATCCATCTCCAAGCTCACGTTATCCGCTCTCGAACCATAAACGCCTCCATCCAAGATCCACTGCTCATTATCATCGTTATCATCCTGCACGCGACGCCACGTCTGCTTCCTCCCACCTTCACCCGCATTCTCCTTGCCTTTACTTTCCTGGACCTTAATAGTCGGCCTAATCAGCCCACCCAACAGCGGATTCTTGCTGAACGCCCCGCTCCCACTCGATAGCGTATTCCCATCTCGGGGCCGTTGAGTAGGTTCGGGTGGCTCATCTTCGCTCTCCGGTGTAGCCGGCCTCTCGGTAGCAGCCATGCGCTTGACAAGCTTCTTGCCGGAGAGATCGATGCTGGCGACTACTTTGCGCTTCTCGTACTCTGGGCGCGCATTCCAGTCTTGCTCGCGCAGGGCTTTTTGCTGGCGCTTGAGCTGCATGGCGCGTTCTTGCGGGCTGGCCCACATGCTGAGGCCGGCTGTTGTGGTTTCGAAGTCGGCGGCTTCGTCGTGGACTTGTGTTCGTTTGGCGTTTTGGGCTTGGAAGGCGAGCAGCTTGTCTCTGTGCTGTTTTGCTTTTGCGAGCTTCTCGTTCTCAGACTCGACGTCCGAGGCGGGATTGGAAGATGCGGGTGTTCCTGTGCGGGGTGTTGAGAACGGGCGTGGTGCGAGCGAGACATCGGCACGCTTCTGGCCCGCGTTGTTGGCGGCCATCTTCTCTTTTCCGCGCTCTTCGCGGAGAACGCGCACCATGGATTGGATGTCTTGTGCACTGAATAAAGCTGAGTTGCAGAAAGTGCATGGGCCGATGCCTTCCTTTACGCAGATGATCTTTCCGCAATTCAAGCAGTTTGGCGCAGCTTCGAGCAAAGGATGCCTGGTAGCCATGCAATTGCATTTCCGCTTGCTGTTATCTTGTGGGGCAAGAGTAGGGTTCGTCTGGATCTCGAGCGCTCTGATTGCTGACTCCAGATCATTGAGTGCCGTCGAGGCACCATGCATAGGCGTGCCACCGGTAACATTGACCTTTGCCTTTGCCTTTGGTTTCGTATCGGAAATGAGTTGGCCTGGAAGTTTCTTCGCTGGTTGCGGAGCAGGCGAGACACCACGGGATTTGGGGGTTGATGTCCCCGATGACGTAGTGAAGGTTGGTAATTGCAACCCATCAGGTTGTTCTTGTAAGCCGAATTTAGCAGCCTTGGGCTTTGAGCTACCCGCCATGTAATCTTGTTCATCTTTTTTGAGATATGCACCAGATACGTTGCCATGGTCCTCTACTTGTCGTGGTGGCGGAAGTTTGTTCAAACCGGGTTTCTTCTTCTTTGGCTTCGCCCTGGGTACTTCTGACATGCCATTTGACACTTGGGCCTGGCCAGAGCCGCTGGAAGGTTTCGCCTTTCTCCGGTTGTTAAACGAAGAGATAAACTCAAGTGCTTGCGGGCTATCGCCTAAGAAGTTCTGCAGATGGTCCGCTGCTTCTTTGGGCGATAGTGACTCAGTATAGGATATTAGTTGCTTCAGTGACTCATCGTCTAGAGGAACAAGCTTCGATAGCTGGGGCAATGCCCAGTTTGAGAGATCCATGTTCTTGTTGATGGGGTTGTGGTTGCCAAATGTCAGAATAGGTTGTTAGCTGTGAATCATCACTCTGAGCTAGTAGCTGTGGCGCAGATGTGTGGCTGGTGTGCGGTCCGTGCCCCGAAGTTCACATGGAATTCCAGCTCGTGGGGAAGCTGCCATCACAGTCCTCATACCCTCAACTACACATTCACCATGGCTACCGACATCGCGCTCGATACCACTATTGTACGTTAATCTTCCCATACGATAAACACCCTTACTAATCAGAGCAGGGCACCATTGTCATCGAACTCTACAACGACCACGCGCCCAAGACATGCAAAAACTTCTCGACGCTCACGCAGCGCAACTACTTCAACGGCCTGATCTTCCACCGCATAATACCAAACTTCATGATCCAAGGCGGCGACCCCACGGGTACTGGAAGAGGAGGTGAGAGCATATATGGAGACAAGTTCGAGGACGAGATCAGCCCCCAACTCAAGCACACCGGTGCAGGCATCCTCAGCATGGCCAACTCCGGTCCGAACACCAACGGCTCCCAGTTCTTCATCACATTGGCGCCGACTCCGTGGTTGGACGGCAAGCACACCATCTTTGGAAGGGTCAAGAGCGGGATGCAGATCGTGAAGAAGCTGGGCTTGGTCAAGACAGACAAGGAAGACCGCCCTGTGGAGGAAGTCAAGATTGTCAAGGCATACCTCGTCGACGACGGAGCGATGGCGATGCAGCGATACTAGCGCGGAGGGGGGCATCACCAGGCGTCGACGCGATCGCATGACAGAGCGCATTAACGCGACACTCAATGCTTGAACGTGAGTTACTCAAAAATGAAATGTAGATTAATTACTCATACGTCCAACTAGTTCAGAGCTCCGTTCGGATGGATCAACACCTTCGTATACCCCTCGATTCTCTTGTCAAACTTCTCGTATGCCGTCGGCGCGTCGTCGATGTTGATCTCGTGCGACACGACGAAGCTCGGCTTAGCCTTGCCCGATACAATCATGTCGCGGAGATACCTGTTGTACGCCTTCACGTTACACTGCCCGGTGCCAAGATGCAAGCCCTGCCGTCGTTAGTGGTGGATCACAACTTCGAGCCACGAACATACCTTTTCGAATAGCTTGCCGAACGAGATCAGAATTTGGCCCTTCTTGCTCTGCTCGTCTGGGGCTCCTGGATCAGCCGGCACATACAATCCTGGAATACCCAAGCCTCCCGTTGGCCGGGTCACCATGATCAACTGGTCCAAGACAACGTTTGGCTTCTCCTTGCTACCGGACGCGTCCACGGCTTGATACCCGACCGCGTCGACCGCGCGATCCACCATACCGTCATTGAGCTTGATGATCTGCTCAACCGGGTCGCTCTTCCTGAAGTCAATAGGAATGCATCCGATCTTCTCCGCAGCTTGCAGTCGCTCAGGCACTGTGTCGACTACGAAGACCTTGCTCGCGCCTCGTAGGATACCACTATAAGCTGCCATGAGACCAACAGGACCCGCGCCAAACACCGCGACGCTTTCGCCGGACTGGAAGCCAGCGAGCACCAGCCCATGCCAGCCCGTTGGGAATATATCTGCTAGCAGTATGAAGTCGGCTTCGTGCTCGGTTCCTTTGGGTAGTTTCAGGGCGTTGAAGTCGGCGAAGGGGACGCGGAGGTATTGTGCTTGGCCGCCCTGATACGGGCCCATGGCTACGTAGCCGTAAGCGCCGCCGGCGAAGCCTGGGTTTACTCTGTGCCATTGTTAGGACAGGTGCATGATAGCCTTATTGGAGTTCGACTTACCCAGTGCAGAACGCTGTTTTGCCCTCCTCGCAATTGCGACACCTGCCGTCGGCGACATTCTACAATCCATCGCGTCAGCCCTCCGCCATCCGCACCACATCTTCACGGAATACTCACAAACGGCAACACAATCCTATCCCCCTTCTCCAAAAGCGTCACGCCGGCACCAACCTCGATAATCGTCCCCATATTCTCATGACCAAACACCAGACCCGCCTCCGCAGCCGTCCGTCCCTGATACATATGCAAGTCCGACCCGCAAATCGCCGCCGTCGTAACCTTGACAATCACATCATCTGGATGCTGTATCGTAGGCAGTTCGACGTCCTTGACCGAGACCTTGAATGGGCCCTCGTAGTGCACTGCTTTCATCTTGGAGCTGGACATTTTGGGGGTTGTTGCGGTTGTTGCGGGTGTCGCGTACAGATGTGTAGGGTTCAGAGGTTCAAAGATACAGGATATAAGGAGTTCGTCGCGACAATAGGGCTGTGCGCGTATGGTATGAAGAGGAAAAGTCGCAGGGGACAAAAGGCACGTTGATCCTACAACGGAACCAGACCCAGTCTATGATGTATGACGACCCCTCACCTGGGCATCTTCGGTACTTGCAAGCTTGCAGGAGTTGGGACCAGAAGCGTCTGGCTGGCGTCATTATTGAGGGGCTGACAGCGGAGAGAGGGTCGATCAAGTGTGGGGTACCGGTTCCGAGTCGGAACGGACGCTTCGGAAACTAGCGCGTTGCGTCGAATGCGCTCGAGATCACTTGTATCCGCGTGGTCAGTCTTTTTCGCATGGTAGGGAAGCTTGGAGGATCGGTCACGCCGATGTTTAGGTGCTCTACCATTTTTAGACTTTAAGCTGTCTAGAGCGGAAGAGGACCTAAACATCGGCGTGGGAGGTCTTGCTTGGTTCTGTATTGTGCGGAAAACGTGGAACGCTGATCGACGTCTCAGGTCTTCTTTGATAGCGTTCTCAAGGGATGGGGATCATGAGCAAGAGATAAGGAGAACCTCACTGCAGAATTCATGCTTGCTCATTCTGAGCGAAATGTAAAGTGAACACCTTTTTCAAGATTTCTAGCTTCCTCGGAGCCATGACTCCTGTGATGTGATATGTTCGAGAAAAGGCCATCATCGTAAGCAGAGTCGTATGAGCAATGTAGTGCCCAGATGGGATATCCCCGAATAAAGTCCCGTCCAAACTCCAAATTCCAAATTCATCCCGCATCCAAGAGATATACGGGAATGATCATACCCACCTCACCACCAATCTCCAATACAACCCACCTAAACCAACCCAACCAAACTCTCATTCAACCTCCCCAACCTCCCCCTAACCTTCTCCACCCTCTCTCCCACCACACTCGCACCTCCCTTCTCCTTCTCCTTCTCCTTCTCCTTCTCCTTCTCCTTCCCCTCAACACCAGCTTTCTCCTCAACCCCTCCCATCCCCCCCTCCACACCCCCCTCCACAACCCCCTTCCTCCCCGCCTTCTCAAACCTCCTCTTCCACATCCCCCGATAATTCACAACGCACTGCCTAACCCAAACACTCCACCACACCTCCTCCGCCCACCTTACTAGCACCGCATCCGTGGCACCAGCATACTGCGCATCTGTCCACGCCATCGTAAAGTCCTTGTCGCGCGGCATGGTGGCGAGGTAAGGTGTGCCGGTGGAGGGGCAGAAGAGTGTCCAGCGGAAGAGACAGAGCAGTTTGGCGGAAGGGGACATGTTGGGTGGAGGTGGGGAGGCGGAGAATGGGAGGGGTGGTGTGTAAGGGAGGGCGTCGACGTAGAGGTAGAGGGGTGGGTTTGGGGGGGAGGTGGTGGTTGACAGAGATGGGGGGAAGGGAGGTGGGACTAAAGCGCTCGGTGAGATCGGCGAGGCATCGGTCGATAAGCCGGGTGTGAGCGGTGGTGTCAACGGCGGTGTTAGCTCGCCTGTAGCTGTGGGTTCGAGATCGGGGGTCTGCGGCTGAAGCTGTTTGACTATGATGATTGGAACGGGTACGTCGCTACTCCATCCATTCTTACCAGTTGGAATGGCTTGAGTGATGAGATCGCGCAGTCTCTGCTCTTCGCGCTCTTTGACCCATGCGGCGCGCTTGGTGTAGTATTCGGTTGCGATGTGGGGGAATGTGGTGAAGACTTTGTTGCGGACGGCTGCTCTGGTGCGGGTTTGCCATGCCGAGAGGTCTTCTTCGACGTGCTCGATGGCTTTGCTGTCGTCTTCTTCTGGGCCTGTAATGTGCTGGATGGGACGGTAGCCAGGGTAATGCTGCGGAACCCATTCTTTGATGAAATGTGTCCAGTACGGTGCGCGGTCTTCAAGTCGGTCGTTATACTTCTCCTCGGCTAGTCGTGCGGCGAAGTGACCTGGGTGGAAGAGCCAGGAGCTAGTCAAGTACTTGTAGACTAAAAATACCATCAGTGAAACTCACAAACAAGACAGATCAAAACTTACTCTCCTCCTTAGTCTTGAATCCCCCATTCAAGATCCTCCAATCCAACCCCACAATCCGCAGCGCATCCTTCGGATCCTTGCTAACCCACACCATGCTACCAGGAAAATTCGTCTCTTCCATCTCTTCAACACGGACATGTATACCCTCAGGATCCATGGTGAGGCCCAGCGGTTTGACCATACTGCCGATCATCTTGCTGTTACTTGCGTAGTTGAGCTCGAAGTGACACCAGTGGAACAACTCCGGCTTGAAGCAGACTTTGACATCGATCTGGATGAAGTAGTTCTCTTCGCCGTGGGGCGAGTCGATGGCGAAGTACATGCAGTCTCTGGTAAGAAAGCCTTGGCGCCCATGTGTGGTATCGAGGACGTCTTTGATGAGAGAGACGGTGCTTTGCCAGGGGAATGTGTCGAGTGTGATAGTGCCTTCGGAGTGGAGAGGGGAGCAGACTAGGAAGTCGACGTCGCCGTAGTCGTCCTGTGGGTGTCAGCAGGTGAGCAGTGTGTCGGATGTGTAGTCATACCTTGCCGGGCATCTCAGTCGGTACCACGACTTGCGCGAAGACAGTCTGCAGCGCGGCTTTCGTCTCTGCTTTGACCTTGTCGTAGACAGCTGGGGAGATGCGCGGACAATATAGTCCTTTGAAGGCGTGGCCGCCCATTTTGTACGGTAGTTGACGACGAGGTAGTGACAAGTGTTGGTTTGATGTTTCTCAGATCGTGTAAAGTGATGGAGTCGTAGTGACAAAGGATGAAGTCGAGAGACTATATAAGCAAGTACAATGCGACTTATGGCAGTCTAGCAGGCTCCAAGACGAAGTAAAGGTAAGAGCAGCTGAACGATTTCAAGTGCGGTAAGAGAGTATCAGACGACATGGCAAGTGCTCAGCGGATCAAACATGGCAAGTGTGTACGCGACCTTGATCTTATCGAGAGTCACCTTTACCTTCGGGCATCGAATTGTGCCAGTGCCATATCAAGCAACCCACCGCCATAAGCTCATTGTTCCATCTCCATTCTGTCCGAATAGAAAAGGACTGCACAAGACTGGACAGGCGGTGGCGCGAAATGAGCTCGGTAGAAGTCAATTTCCGTGAGATGTACTGCTCCAAAATGTGACTTGCAACTCAGAGGCAGTACCTGATAGAAGCGCTCACCAAGATCTGGTAAGATTGCTGTACTGCATTCACATCGTCCTTAGGCTTGTTAACAGATGAGAGTGCGCCTTGTCCACAGCCTTGCAGCCTACCTCCCCATACTCTTCTGCGTCGCATAACTGTGGCGTTCGAAAAATGGTTGGGCGAGGCAGCTCTGTGTCACCCTCACCATCACCGCTCCTGCGGCGCAGCAGTGCCACAAGCGCTAAGCCTGAACACATATCAATATCGCTCTCACCACCACCACATCTTCAACCAACTACCACAAAAGCAGCTGAAAACATGGCGATGGCACGTCTCCAAGCGATCCTAGCCTGCTTCCCCTGC